CCCGCCTCCCCGGGACCCGCCCCGGTGACAGGTCGGCCTCCGCGCGCCGTCCCTGTGTCCGCAGGCAGTCGCGAGCGGAGTAGGCGCCGCCGCCCGCCGCCGCCCGCGCCGAGTGAGGTGAGGCCGCCGCGCCCCTGCCCGCGGAGCCCCCGTCTTCGCCGTCCCGTCCCGGTCTCCTCGCGGCGCGCCCCCGCCCGGCGCCCCTCATCCCGGCCCGGCCTCCCGGCGCGGCGCCCCTCCCCCGCTCCTCTGCGCTGGCTCGCGGCGCCCGCTTTCTTCCTCTCCCCTCTGCCCCCTCTTTCCTCACCCCCTTTTTTCAACAAAACCCCCACGGCTCGGAAGGAGCTTGGCGCCTCGCTAGGGCGAGGGACCTCTTAAAGGATGAATGATGTGCGAGAATGGTGGCGGCCAGGACACCGAGGTCCTCGGCGTGGGCGACCGCATCGAGAGGTCCCTGTCTCCGTCGTTTCCCTCGTGTCTCCGGTGTTCTCCGTTTGGGGACAGTGAGGGTGTCAGAAGCAAGTGGGTCCATTTTTCTGCGCTGAAGTGCAGATCCACGAGCGCAGGGAGCCGCGGTGGGCACCGCGTTATCCTTTGCGGGGTAGATGGTGACCCGCGCGCCTCCTGCACCGCTCCATTGACCTTGCGCGGTGCCTGCTGCCGGCCCTCTGTCCCCCTCTGGAATTTACCCGACCGGTCACCGAGATACTACACGCGGCCCGCTCGGACCAACCTCGCCGTTTCTTTTCTGTGTGTGCAGCAGGCAGTTTCTGGGCAGGTGACTGTTTATTTACGTGTGTTTCTTCCGTTTTCTTTTGTAAATGAGTTCTCCTCTTATCTCCCAGACTGACGGCTCGGACTCTAGTGTGAGAATGGCTGTGACTTTGGAAGGAGCGCCGAGGCTGGGCTGGATCCTGGTGAAAGCCCTGTTGAGATTCGCCTTCATGGTCGCCAATAACCTGGTCGCTATTCCGTCCTACATCTGCTATGTAATTCTGCTGCAGCCGCTTCGCGTGCTGGACAGTAAGCGGTTCTGGTGTATTGAAGGAATCATGTACAAATGGCTTTTGGGAATGGTGGCTTCCTGGGGATGGCACGCTGGATACACTGGTAAGAGCGAGAGCACTTTTGTTTAATGCTTACAAAAAGAAATTGTTATGCTTAAGTCAGGAGCCATGATTGAATAGATTTTAGGCTTTGAGTTGGAGATGCTTTTCTGCTTTCACTGTTGAAAAAAATTAATAGAAAACAGTCTTGTCGGGTTTTCTGTCAGATTGACATCGAGGAAGCGTGTTTTCAGAGGTATAATTGTGTAATTAAAAATTGATAAATTCCTTAAGTAATTTTTTTTTCTTTTGGTATCGGGGATCGAACTTAAGACCTTGCGCTTGTGAGACAGGCGCGGTGCCACTGAGCTAAATCCCCAGCCCTTAAATAATGTTTTTAATATGGTTGACGTTTATTTATTAGAACTGGGCTCCAAAAGCTCTCATAGAGGAATGGGAGTACATTACACAGGACTTGAGGGCATATAAAGTGAAGATATAAGGTGTTTAGCCCACAGCATTGGTACTTTAGACCAGTGACTGCACTGTATTTGTACTGAGAGTTTAGTTTTTTCACTTAATATAATAGTGTATTGCTAACATTATAAGCCACCCAAAAAAGGGCTCTCTGTTCTGTTTTTTAGAATCTATATTTTATCTCATGAAAGTATTAAATTTAAAAAAATTAAGTTATCTGTGTTAAGCTAATTTATCTCTTGAGTGTCTTTACATTTCTAATTCTGCTTTTCAATAGCATTTTGGGGAGCAGGAGTAACACAGTTCTGAATTGGACTTTTATAGAACTAAATGAGAAGTGGTGTTTATTTTCTGGTTATAAACCTCGTGTACTTTGATGCTTCTCATGTGAAAATGCAGCATCCTTTATTAGATTCATTGGGGGTTTTTGTCCGCTAAGAATTGGGACAGTGAAGGAAACCTTGAGGTTCCTAGCTTGTCGGATGTGGAGGCTGTCACCACGGAGATTAGGCTGTAGGCAGCAGGTTCCCTAGCTACAGGTTATGCTGCAGATTCTGGGGTCTGGCTCTGGTCTGCTCTTCATAGCTGGGAAGATTGAAGGGTACACACACTAAGGGTCAGGCAGTGCGGCAGTTCTCCATTTTAAATCCTGTCTCCCTCGCTCCTGCCCGGGCTGCATGTGCAGGTTTTATCCATGCCCAGGAGCAAGGACTGATAGTACACAGCTTGTCTGGAGCCTGGCAGACCGTAGCTCTGTCAGAATGCCCTCAGATGCCCCAAGGAAGCCTTTCCCCTTATGCCCTGATCACTCTGCAGGTGTGGGAGCTCCTGGGCTAGTGCATGCCCTCCTTCCTTGTCCTGAGACATGTAGAGATCCCAGTGCTCTTTGGATATGTTAGGTGAGCCTGGTGGTAGCAGCAGCCGTGGTGGAGGAAAGAAATGAAGTTGTAGCCAGTGATGCTGAATTTTTTTTATCTGAATTGCACTGCTGTCTTGGAATGGCTTTGCTTGATACAGCTTGAGTTTTCCCAAATGTGCTGTGTGATACCAGTGGATTTGTTCTTTGTAAAGTTTGCTTGTTGAAAATGAGCTCATAGTCTTTAGAAACAGGTTTTATTTTATTTTTTTGTTTTTGTTTTTGTTTTTCTGTTTTTTTTGGTACCGCAGATCAAACTCGGGTCCTTGAGCTTGTGCAGCAGGCGGTGAAACCACTGAACTAAATCCCCAGCCAGAAACAGATTTTAGAAGTTTGTTGCACTTAAACATAATGAAATTACCGAAATGTTTGTGTTTATGTGTGTGTAAAATATTTGTGTGTCACCATGATAAAATGGTGAAAAAATTAATTTGCCATTGACCTTGGTATTATAAGAACTGCAGTGTTGCTGCTTGAAGTTAGTTGTCCTATGACTGTAGTCTGGCTGCAGTGTACGTTTAAACATACTGCCTTGGGGTAGTTCTTTCTTGCCACTGTAGAACTGTGTGTTTTCTTTTGCCACTTGCTTGGAAAGTGGTTTTGCATATTGTAGTGTTCTTCAGGGTATTGCATTTTAACAGTTTAATCAGTTTCTCACTTAAATACAGATTTCAGTATGTATACTTTAAATGGTTTCCCATAGTTGGAACGCTTGATTTCAGAGGGTATGGTCATAGTGTGATGAGAATAGAATATAGGCAGAAGGTCAAACAAACGGAATGGATTTTGTTGAAAGCCACAGCTGTGTTTAAAACAGCAGACCTCAGCAGGAATTGATGAGCAGGTATAGCCATAAAATGTCTCAGGCTAGGTCAGCCTTTCTTTGGATTATGTATTTTATTTCTTCCCTTTGAGTCAAGAGGACCGTGTTCTTGTTACCTATTTTCCCCCTTTTTATGATGGAGTGTCACAGATGGAAAATTGAACATCGCCAAGGGAGTTTCGCTTGCAGATCTAGTATGTTCATGCTTTACAATAAAACTTACCAAAACTTTGTTGAGAAACTACTTCTGAGGAAGACTCATTTTAAAGCTGAAGATTGAATATTGGTATAGAACAGTCATTTTTCAAGTTGCGACATTCAGTGTAGGACAAGGTGGTCACTCATCCCTGCTGGTGAGGACTGGTGATTATCTCACCTACACTGCCCCACAGGGAAGCGGCTAGATGCCGGGCCTGTACATTTAAATAAGACATGAAAATTCAGCTCAGTCACACCAGTCAAATTCAAATACTCAGTACCAGGTGGCTTAGTGACCACTGGATCAGTGCAGATAGAGAACACTTTCATCATCACAAAGTTCTATTGGACAGAGCTAATAGATAGTAATTTGGGCTTTCTCCATTTTCTTAGGAAAATCACATTTTATCTTTATAAAAGGAACATCTTTTTCTAGTTTTAAACAGATTTCCACACTGGGTGTGTAGTTCAGTGGTAGAGCACTTGCCTGGCATGTATAACACCCTGGGTTTAATTTCCTAGCACCTCAGCTAACTAATTTCTTTGGGGGATACAAAAAGATTTATTAAAGTTTGTGAAATTGCCTTTTAGCTTGAGGCAGACATCACAAAAAATCAGTCCTTTTGCCTTGTGTGGTGGAGCACACCTGTAATCCCAGCTACTCAGGAGACTGAGGTAGGAATTGCAAATTCAAGGCCACCATGGGCAACTTAGTAGGACTTTTTCTCAAAAAGAAGAGAAAAGAAAAAGAAACAGTCTGGAGATGTTGCTCAGTGATCCCTGGGCTCAGTCTCCAGGACTGGAGAAAATAGAAAGAGTCCCTTAAAGATAGACATGGCTCTTGAATGTGGAACATTCCGGCAAGTGCAAGAACCCGGATGGCCGTTCTTGTATTTGGTGTGCATTCTCGGAGCTGGAGAATTGCCCAAGGATGCAAAAGAGGGAAGAGGGATGTTCTGCTCTTTCTGTCCGTTTCTGACTTTCTCTTTTCTGGGGGACGTTTCTTGAAAGTACTCTGAAGACAGTGGGGTTTGTTCACCTTTAGATCGCTCCTAGTACAAGGTAGCCAGATGGTAACTTCTCCTTTAGCAGAAAGTGCTGTCCAGATAGCTCGTGTCAAGGATCAGTTTCAGGCTGCCTTGTGCTGATGGAGAGCACAAGACCTGAAGAGACAGCAGCTTAACTAGTGACTCACTTCTGCCTGCTTCATTTAAAATGTTTATTTTAAATGTTTATTTTGATTTTCACTTATTTTAATAAAGTTGTATCATCCAAACCCATTTGACTAGTCTTTGTACCTATAATAGTTTAAGGCAGTTACTGTAAGTGGAAGCTCTAGAATTTCTATATAGAATGAGAGTCCAGGGTCCCTAGTCTGGCTGGTGGACATTTGGGGTGCTAGCGGATGCCGCTAAGCTGTTTTTGGTCAGCAAATGCTGTTTTCCTTAGATTATTTTCTTGGGATGGCTTTAGGGAAAGCTGATGGCAGATTAGGCTTAGCTTTCTCCCACTCCCCGGTTGCCATGGCTCTATGTTCATTTTTGTCAATTATTTTACTATTTAGTCTGCTTTTTTTGTTGGGATGCAGATTTGTTGTATAAGAAAGATGTGACTTTGAAATTGTGTGTGTGTGTGTGTCTGTGTGTGTGTGTGTGTGTGTGTGTGTGTGTGTGTGGTACTGGGGCTTTAACCCAAGGCCTGGTGCGTGCTAGGCAGCATTCTGCCACTGAGCTATATTCCTAGCCCCTGACCTTAAAATTTTAGAGAAAGTTTTAAAAATGTGTATTCTAGAGCAGTATTTTAACTTTGGAGCCACAGAACCAGTTTAGTATGTCAAGATGAACATTTCTAAAAAGTAAAATTGCGTGGGGCATGGTGGCCCATGCCTGTAATCCCAGCTTACTGAGGAGGCCGAGGCAGCAGGCTCTGGAGTTCGAGTCCAGCCTGGGCACTGTAGAAGATGCTCATTTCAAAAAAAAAAAAAAAAAAAGTGAACTTGAATAGAATTAAATAGAAAAGATGAGAAATGTGTGTGTCGTACTGAGTGGTGCTGCAGAATGTGCTTTTTCCTAGGAGTGCTGTGACATTTGAAAGGGATGTTCTGGTGGAAAGGGCACTGCAGCCTGGGAGAGCTCTGAGGGCCGGCTTGAACTTGAACTTCTCTGCTCACTAGTATGGACGAGATGCTCGCTTGGCCTGTGCCACTGGATCTTCTTTCTAACCCTCTCCTGAAGCTCACAGAGTGCTCCTAGTTTTGCTTGTTTGTTTGTTTGTGGTGCCAGAATGAACCCAGGGCCTCACTCACATAAGCGCTTTACCACTGAACTACGCTCCCAGCCCGAATGTCTCCGTCTTGAATGATTCTTTCTTTCCTGATTCTAAGCTATTTATTTTCCTAAAAGGTCAGTCCATAAAGTATAAACCCTGAACCAGAACATATAAAAGACATGCTTGTTCATTAACACACCTTTTGTTGAACTTCTGTCATGTTTGGAGACACCTAGTAGAAGTGCAGAGGTGCTCAGTTTCAGGCTGACTGTTGGTAGCCCAGAGTGCAATGGCGGGAGACAGTGGTGCACATACACTGAGTGACTCTTTGACAGAGCTGCACTGTGGGGTGAGGAGGGGCTCCTCATCCAGAGTCTGCAGC